TCTAATTTAAAAATAATGTGTCTTACTTTGTAACAGACAAAATGCTACAAATCATTTGAATTAACAGAATGCAAACGTAAGGAATAAAGGTTGTAACATTTTCATTGAAAACTATGTTAAGAAAGCACAGGCTCAGGAGGGTTAAAGTGGCACTGTCTACCATTATATCTATAAAATTATGTGGCAAAGATTTGAGAAACAGTGGTTTATTTCGATGGTAATTTTTGGTCCATATAAGGTGAACATGATTTGTAAAAGGTACAAGTATTCTTTATTATAAACTATGTTGTCATTTTTGCCAGACGTGTTCACGATGAGTAATTAATAAAAAAGTTATTTAAGGTGTGTGTATAATAATCTATCAATATTAATGTCATTCTCGACTAGTTATAATAGTCATATTAATATTCCATATTAAATACTTGATACATTGTATTGATAATATTACACATGGACATGTACAGTTATAACATTGCATATTCAGTACTTGATACATTGTATTGATAATATTACACATATACATGTACAGTTATAATATTCCATATTAAAATACTTGATACATTGTATTGATAATATTACACATATACATGTACAGTTATAACATTGCATATTCAATACTTGATACATTCTATTGATAATATTACACATGGACATGTACAGTTATAATATTCCATATTAAATACTTAATACATTGTATTGATAATATTACATATACACATATACAGTTATAACCTTGTATATTAAATACTTAATACATTGTATTGATAATATTACACATATACATATACAGTTATAACATTGCATATTCAATACTTGATACATTGTATTGATAATATTACACTTATACATGTACGGTTATAATATTCCATATTAAATACTTGATACATTGTATTGATAATATTACACATATACATATACAGTTATAACATTGCATATTCAATACTTGATACACTGTATTGATAACATTACACATACACATATACAGTTATAACCTTGTATATTAAATACTTAATACATTGTATTGATAATATTACACATATACATATACAGTTACAACATTGCATATTCAATACTTGATACATTGTATTGATAATATTACACATATACATGTACGGTTATAATATTCCATATTAAATACTTGATACATTGTATTGATAATATTACACATATACATGTACGGTTATAATATTCTATATTCCATATTCAATATGTATGATTTTAATATTCTATAATTGTTTTTTCGTGTACATGAACAGTTATAATATTCCATATTAAATATGTATGTTATGATTTTCCCAATTCCTTATGAACAGGAATAGTTATAATTAGTTATAGTATTTAATATTTCAAATGAATATGAAAAGTTATAATTAGTTATAATAATACTTCATATGTAAATGTATAGCTATAATACTGGTATTTCATATTTCACTTGGCATTATAGTAAGTTATAATTATAATATTTCATATGGTATTAAGTTTTTGCGAGCAAATTTAGAATTGAATAAAATGGAATGTGAACATTAGCAAAGCAAAGTTACTTTCAGATATTTCAGATAAAAATGAAATTATTGGAAATTTTGATTGAATTTTGATTTAAGTACCGAAGGGTGTGAGGAATTTAAATGGAAAAGTATTCCACTTTCATAATACTAGTTTAAAGTCAATGTTGGTATTAACCAACCTTGTGACCAATATATTACACTTCTAACTTCATTCATAGAATAATCTGGAATATTGCCATTTAAAGATATGGTTTAGGTTTATCAGAAAATCTTCCTGAAAAGTTGTGTTTAAGACATTTCTTAGTTAGTTAGAGTTAAAAAAAATAATATTTACTGATCAAAACTTCCATCGTGATCAAAAAAAATTCTGTTTAAATGATCCATTGGGCATGACTCCATCACATTGTATTTTGAGTAATGTTTTTGAAAGAATTACGCAAGATCCAATTCTAAATTTTCTGTCCCCAATACCAAAATGATTAAGATAAACTTAGAACTGGGCAATATACCGCTATCATGATAAATACTGGTATAGGAAATTATATTGTTACTAATATTGCCTGATTAAAAAAAAAAAATATGTTATATATAA